CTTTTCATTTCGACTTTGACCTCCAAAGTCGAAACATTTCGACTTTTGGGTTTTCATTTCGACTTTATGTATAAACCAGATCATAAAGGATTAGCGTTTGGAAAGGTAACTGAAATTTTTGCAAAATCTAAGAGAGAATTAGTCGAAAGAATAGGTGACACTATCACTAGTCGAAATAATCCATTTTGTTACTTTTTTAAAATACTGAATGTTGGCTGAAATATAATCTAATTTCAGCTGATCATTGTCAAAACAATCAGCATTTTTTAGTTATAGCCAAAGTTGTCCATTTCTATGCTACACAAAAAACATTTGACATTAATGATTTGTAGTTATTTGATATATCACTAGGCAAAATAATACAATTCGTCATATTTAAAGTGCTGAAAGTTAGCCGAATATAGTCTAATTTTGCCAATTATTACCAAAAAATCAGCACTTTGAGTAAATAAAAAATCAGTTATCAATCAGCATTTATATTTAAAATTCAGCATAAATCAGCTTAAAATTGGTCAACAATCAGCAAAAATTAATTAAAAAATCGAAACTAATAAAATTAATTTTTGTTTATTTATGATTAATAATTTTATTTTATTATTACATTATAAATTACTCAAAAAGAACATATATTGTATTATATTTTATTCAAAAAAGATATATTTGATTTTTAAAGTAAAGAAAAATAAAGAAAAAGGTTTACCTTAATGTATTCCTAAAAAAAAGTAAAGAAAAATAAAGAAACAGTTAGAAAACCCACTAAAATATCATCTTCAAAAAGCTTATCTTAATGTATTCCTAAAAAAAGTAAAATAAAAATATAGAAAACAGTTAGAAAACCCACTAAAATATCACCTCCAAAAAGCTTACCTTAATGTATTCCTAAAAAAAGTAAAGAAAAAATAAAGAAAACAGTTAAAAAACCCACTAAAATATCATCTCTGAAAGGTATATTCCTATAAAAAGTAAAGAAAAAATAAAGAAAACAGTTAGAAAATCCACCAAATATCATCTTCAAAAGGTTTACCTTAATGTATTCCTAAAAAAAAAAGTAAAGAAAAAATAAAGAAAACTGTTAGAAAACCCACTAAAAACCATCTCCAATTTACTTACTTTAATGTATTCCTAAAAAAAAGTAAAAAAAAAAATAAAGAAAACAGTTAGAAAACCCACTAAAAACCATTTTTGATTTACTTACCTTAATGTATTCCTAAAAAAAGTAAAGAAAAAATAAAGATAACAGTTAGAAACCCACTAAAATACCATTATCGAAAGGCTTACCTTAGTTTTGAAAAGAGAAATTTCTTAAAAAAAAAAATAAAAATAAAGAAAAAACAGTTAAAAACCATTTAAAAGTTACTTCTGATTGCTTACCTTAATACCCAAAATAAGAATTTCCTAAAAAACAAAAACAAAGAAAAAAAATGCTATAAAAGTCACTTCCAATTCGCTTACCTTAATTCCAAAATAAGAATTTCCTAAAAACAAGAAAAAAGAAAGGAAAAGGTTAATTTCTGAAAAAAAAAAAAAAAATAAATTTTTTCAGAATATTTCAAAAGTTAATCAGTTTTATATTATAAATTGAACTAAAATTTCAATTAATCTGAATTATTTATACTATTTATCATAAATGTTACAAATAAATAATTTTGCATCATCCAATTGAAACAATATAGAAAATCATTTGAAAGGAATGATAATTTGATTGTTCCTTACAAATGATATAGAAAATCACTTAAAAGGAACGATAGTTTAATCATTTCTTACAAATGATGACAAAATCGTTCGAAAGGAATGATATTTTGATCATTTCTTATGAATGATGACAAAATCGTTTGAAAGGAATGATAGTTTAATCATTCCTTACGAATGATATGAAAAATCATTCGAAAGGAAAGATAATTTGATCATTTCTTATGAATAATGATAAAATCGTTCAAAAGAAATAATAGTTTAATCATTCCAAAAGAATGATGAAAAAAATCGTTCTTTAAGAATGATAAAAAATCATCGTTCCTTTAGAATGATGATGAATCGTTCTAAAAAAATGATAAAAAATCATTGTTCCTTTAGAACGATGATGAATCGTTTTAAAAGAATGATAAAAAAATCATTCTAAAGGAACAATAATGAATTATTTTGAAAGAATAATGAAAAAAGTATCATTCTTTCGAAATGATGATGTATTGTTCTTTCAGAACGATGATGTATCATTCTAAAAGAACGATTAAAAAAGCATTGTTCTTTCAGAATGATAAAGTGTCGTTCCTTAAGAATGATATTAAAAATCCTTTTTCAGAACTATGATGAATCATTCCTTTAGGAACAATTTCTATCATCTCTTTAGGAATGATATTTTATTCCTTTTGAGATGATTTCTATCGTCTCTTTTAGAACGAATGTATCATTTCTTTAGAGACAATTTCTATTGTCTTTTTAGAATAATTGAATTGTTCCTTTGGAGATGATTTCTATTGCCTCTTTAGGAACGATTTCTATTGTCTCTTTGGAATGATTGAATCATTCCTTTAGGAACAATTTCTATTGTCTCTTTGAGACAATTACTCTTAGAATGTTTTTATAATTTACGCAAATATCGGCTTAACAGATTTTGATCAGTGAGATATAGTCGATTTGTTGCTAAATCTTGAGTCTAACTGAAATTTTGCTGAATATTATACCAAAATGTGATGTAACAAATTACTATTGATTTTTGTAACTTAAGCTGATTTTTTTTGAATAACATGACTGAGTCGGCTGAATGTTAACCAAATGGTATTAGTGCTGAATAAAATGATTTTGACTAGTATATATCAAATCCATGCTCTTTTGTAAGATTATTAGAAAAGATGATTAATATAGAAAAATTAAAGGATGCTCTGAAAGTATATTCTGATTTCTTGGGTATTAAGAAAACAATACCACTTATTCGTTTTCCTCTAGTGACATGAAAAACTATTACATTAAGAGAGATTATTATAGCATTAAAAAATAAGATACATAATCTCTCTTCTTTGCTATGTTATATCTAAGTTTCTTACCAAAAGTCTCTTAGTAATGAATCAAAAGTGAAACTTGATGAGCTAAAAGCATCTGGTTTTCGAATTTGCAATTATCAAAATATATAAAGAGACTTATTTATAAATGAGTGAGATATTATTATAGTATAGGTTGAGAGTCTTTTTCGTATTGAGTTTATAACCCGTCTGTTTGTAGCTATTCCTGATAAAGCTAATGCTATTATGCATCAAATATTTAGCAATACAAATGCACGGGAATTTGAGAATGTAATATGTGATGTATTAAGATTTATGAAACATGTTTTGACCATGGATGCTTTTGCAAATACATCAACACTAACCTTTCTCCAGACTTATCATGATGAAAATATTCGCATAGTTGATAATAAGTATCAGCCTTGTATAGGTGAGACAGTTGAATTTGTTATGATCTAAATAGCAAAGCTGAAGCCATGTGAATAGGACATGATCTTTTGAGGCAAGGCAAATGTGTAGCATTCATATTTACTGAAGCATTAATAGCTAGTGCACTAGTAGAAAAGGCATCTAAGTTGTCTAAACCTGATAATTCTCCTATTAAAGCCTATGCATATTATGGGAATATGGATGAAAAGCAGAAACAAAAAGACTTCTCTAATATTGATGTCATTTAGGGTGAGTTTAACTATGTAGCTTACACAAATACAGTGGAGGCGAGAATATCATTTGAGATTATGAGCCACTTTGATATAGTTATAGCTATTACAAATATAACCACTTCAGTTCATGTTGAGGCTTTTGCATAAATGCTTTATCGAATTCGTGACTGTTCCTATCGTATTGTTTTTATGTTCTATCAGAAAAATTCTAATGAACTTTTTCATCTATCAGGCTGTGAAAATATTCAAATAGAACTTGAAAATGCTTAACCTAATAATTTGCCTATAGCAATAAAGGGCCACTGTGAATGGAATAGTAATATCATTTCTTATAAAATTGATAAATCCTAGCTATAATAACATTCATTGAAGTTGAGCATCAGAAACATCTTTTCGTAAGATATTTTATTGAAAAACTTTGTAGTCTTATAGCCAATATTGGTGTTTCTTTCCAACTAATAAAAATGGATGAGAGCTGAGAAGTTATAGGGAACTGTAAAAGAATCTGTAATGAGGTTAGAGTTGAAGCATTAGTTATTAAAGAAATGGATTTTAATGCAATTGCTACTTTCTAGAATCTTAGCCCTGAAGAAGCTAAAATTCTTAAGTTTGACCAGGAGCGTTCTATAGCAGATACTATGGCACTTAAAAGCTATGATGAAGAGAATGCAATGGAAGGGTTAAAAGCCAAGAATACTACACAATGGAAAATTGCTTGCTATAAAGCCGAAAAGAATCTGGAAAAATCAGTGGTAAAGGACTTGTAAAAATCTTATTCAACAAATCACTGGAAAGCTATAAGGAAACTTTTTCAAATACTAGGCTTTATTGGCATTGATGATATATGTATTTTTTCATTTAATATTATTTAGAAGCATTCGCTCAATTGTGTAAAAGATTTATAGAAATCTGAAGTCAGTCTTTATTACTTTTTAGTTTTAAGTCCTATGCAAAAGAAAAGCCCGATCTTATTAGAGCTCCTAATGAGTCGAGTTGACTCACGAGTCAAATGAGTTGACTCGAGTTTGAGTCGAGTCAAGTCAAAAATT